TGAAGCGATGGGGAAATGAACCAAGAGGGCATTCTTTTTAAAACCAAGGCCGAATTCTGGCGTTAAAACAATTTTTTTTGGGGTCCATTTCAAAGGCAATACAATAAGACACTAGAAGTTTTTGCCAATTAGGCTTAAACCCTTGCAAAATTTGGTTGGTCGATTTCCCCCCATAATATGGGGGGGAATTCCAATTTTGGTATTTTTATTTCTGGAAAAATCCATTGAAAAGGCTTGGGGGCAAAATAAAATGGAAAGGGTTGGTCTGCGGTAAAAAAAGCCAAAAAAAAGGGGAACAGAACTCTTTGGATTGGATTTGTTAGCCCTTTTGCAGGGAAACCTTACTCGCCATGGCGGCCCAAAAAAACCTATAAAAACACACTACAGGGAGGAAAGCCAAAAATGGGGATTTAAAAAGCGGCTTTGGGGAACTAGTGTATTGGTGTGGGTTTTTTCTTAACCTTTGGTTTTTCAGTTATGAAAGCCGTTTTCTCGGTGTGGCGCCTTATGGCAGGCCGGAGGGTGCGGCAAAAGGGCCACATTACTGGAAAATGGTTTTTTGGTTTTTCGGCTTTCAGGATGGAAGGTGAGTCTCCTGGCTTTGGGAAGGATGGGCCCAAAGAAGCCCAGGGGGGGGCAAACATCGCGAAGAAAAGAAGAAAGAAACACCAAGAGAAACCCCAAACAGAGGTCAGGCCACAGATTAATTGCGGAGAAAACCCCATTTCCAAGGGAAAAAAGAAAGCAGGCTTTTTTAAAGGTGTTCCAATGGAAAGCTGGTTTTGATTTGGGCCTTTTCCAAGAAAGGGTTTTTGTTAAAGAATGGCCTTTCACTCATTTTTTAAGTCTCGGGGGCTGTTGTTTTTACTTTTCAAATGGCATTTTTTTGATTGAAAAAAAAAGCAAAACACCAATAACTGTGACAACAAAGCAAAGCATGGCCTTTAATCCTCGGTTTCCCCACTTTGAGAATGATCTCTAAAACACATAAGCTAAGTTCTAAACGGTTGCATGCTCCACTTTGGTAAGACCTATCCCCTGTGTGCCTTGGTACTTCCTCATAGTGTGGAATTATTAACTGGTTTGGCTTACTTTAGAACGGGTGACGAAGGCTCTCCATTGATCAAACGGCTCTTATTATATATGCATGAGACCGCGGGAGCATGATAAATGAACAAAAACACCCAGAGATAGCCTGAGCTGCTGACACACACTATCTCTCACACTTGGCAGACACTCCAGACAACCAACCCGTCCTCGGCTCACCCTGACAAATGCTGCAACCGTGTCAACCGGTGCACAGCGAACTGTCTGCGGCCGTGCACCGGTCCTATCCAAGCTAAGAGATTCAGACCATGGCATCTCATTACCTTGAAAACCTTTTTGGCAAGTCACTGTGCCGCCCTAGACCGAGGCACAACAATATGACATTCCTGCAGCCCTTTCCTCCCAAAAACAACACCTTAAAAAAAAACAGCCACCTGCTAGATTATGAAGTCTCAAATCACTTCTCTCTAGGGCTGCACGATTTTAAAAGAATTAACTGTTTTTGTTGCACCAATATAGCATGTTAAGATTAAGGAGGGAATTATCTTTACTGCATGATCAATCTCATCATCATTGTAAAAAAAAAGATCATGGTGTGAGTTTTTGTGAAGTCCGTCGAACATTATTTGTAGTCAGGGATATCGCTGCAGCTCCATGATACTTAATTCAAATTATATTATGTTGTAATACATATGTAGCCTTTAACAATTAACGTGCATCCTGCAATTTGCATATTACACTAGTCCATTTTGCAATTTGGATCGAAGTTCTTATATCTCTTAATCTCTTGCAGCTATCTGTGTTTTCTCTGCAGTGGGTGCCCTGTCAGAGCCACCCTGGGTGCCACGGCCCTGCTGCCCAGGAAAACTACATCTGCTTCCTGAAATGTGAGGAGCTGGTCCCCCTAAAACACATCGAGACATTCTGTTCCTACCAGCTGCTGACTCCAAACATGCAACCCAGCCCAACACCACACTGCTGGACCAGCTGACACCACACACAAGCTATGTTTTCACTAACTCGCTTACATGCAACACATCACCCGAGTATTGGTAAACCTGCTTACACTCATAAGAGACTGACCCTCACTTAAGTCACTCAGATAAATGCAGGCTAAAAACGCAGATGGCCGAGGAAGCAGCTGATAAGAAACACGAGGGTCCTGGGAGTTTCTTGCTGTAGTCACATATGTGTCATCACCTCCCGTAAACTATATTGTACAGTACAGATGTAGAGATACTAATCAAATGTGTGACACAAGTCATAAAGAGGAACTTAAGAGGGCTACATGTATTTAATTTGGGCATAGTGACAAATGCTGTGTGGCTACTAGAGCTGGGAATAAAGTTAAAAATGTTCATTTTCACCGTCAATGGTAATATCATAACAACCTTTTTCCAGTAAGATAGTTACGTAATATAAACAAGGATTTTAAATTGAAATTTGAGCATCTAAAAATCAACTGAAAGAGTTTGTTTCAGAGGAAGATTGTGGGAACAAATTAAAAGCTTTAAAGCAGCAAAAAAACGTAACCATTAATCTTTTGATGAGTTTGTTTTGTTCAATGTTAAAGAATCTACATATAAAATCAGGAAGCTGTTGTTATAGACTTATCCTAAAGGAAACCAATCGTATTTAACCTCTTGCATTATGCAGTTTGGCATATTGTATTAGCAGTTAGAAAAGCCAACGGAGCAACCCAACTGAAATGTGATAACTATAGATCACCTAGTGCGGCTTAAACTATTACTGTAGATGGAAATAAATCAAGAAAAATACCTCCTTTCATTTCCAAAATTGGAGTCAGGTGCTTCTTAAGATATATGAGAAAGGAATAAGTGCTGAAGCTCCTGCCACTTATACCTCCAAGTCAAATAACTCCTGTAGAGCTTTCCTTAATAACAATATTTAAATGACTCCCATCTCCTTGTGCATAATCCACAACCTTTTGTTTCCACGTCACTAGAAACAACGCTATAGACATTTTCTGATAACTATACCACTAGTCTGAGGGGCTACAACCACAGTCTATGGCCACAACAAGCCCTTCCTGCAGACTTCCTCTGTGTTATCTTACACGCAGTTTATGTCTCTTTTGATAATAGCATTAACTTATATAATGTCCCTCAAAGTATACCACCATTGCTTTGCTTAGGTTTAGAGAAATTAATATTTGGCCATGATCCTGGCACCCTGCAATGACTGCCCTACTCTAAATCCCAAAACAAAGAGAAGCCACAGTACAAAGGGGAGAACACACACTGGTATGGGGGGTGTAAATGTTAACACTTCCGAAAGGCAGGTTGTATTTTGTCGACACAATACTGTGTTAGGTAGCCGGGGAAAGGCACGTTGTCTCCGGTGTCTAACCTCATGCTGTAGGCTCCAGCCCCCAGCTCCTGCCCGATGCCGGACAGGCTGGCATCGAAGTCGTGCACCAGCCCCGACTCGATGGATGCGTCGTCCATCTTCAGCACCCAGGCCATCGGCCCCAGCTCCTTGTCCTCGGCTTCTACTCGGAGGGACGCCAGCTTGCTTCAGGTACGAGAGGTCGGCTAGCGAAGAAGCTGGCTGTGCAGCTACAGGGACACCGTGAGAGGAAAGTTATGCTGCTAGCCCGTTAGCCGCTCCTTGGCAGGCTGGGCAGGCGGTAGCTTTCCACAGAGACTGGGTGTATCGCCATATCTCCACTCGGGTTATTTTTTCTCTCTTTTGTCACAAAACACGGTGCTCGACGACCGTCTGAAAGTAACAATAAGTTAGAGTTCACTCAGCTAGCGAATGTTAGTCGTGACTGAAGATGCGAGCTGGTTGTCAGCATGCTAACGTTAGCTAACAGCTAGCGAGCTCTACAATGGTAACTAAAGCAAGCTAGCATGAATCCAGCAGCCCCGTTGTTACGCTAAAGTCTTAAAGCAGGCTAATTATGATTTGCCCAACACAATGCAACAGGCAGAGGATACTTTTGAGTTTAGTCCACACGCCGCATCCCACGCAGCGTCCGCACAGCTGTTGCTACCAGGCTAACTAGCATCAACTTGACTTGCTTTGAATCGACCGTTGATGTCCGGTGATCCTAGGAAGAGCAGCTCTCCTCTGGCGCTTCCTGTACCATCCCAACCCGCTCTACTCTTCTCATCGCGGTGCAGGAACAACCGCTAAGGCTCCCGCTTCTTGAGACGCAGTCCTTTAACCATCCAAAGTGCAGCGTTTGACACAAAACCAGGCATCAACATGGCTCCCCTCAGCATACGGACCGTCGCTCTGTGAAGCCTGCAGCGCTGCCACCGACAGCTTCAGGAAGGATGCCAACAGCCAATCAGAGACCCCAGTCTGTGCCCAGCGCATGGGGGTTAGCCAATCAGCGGCCTCCAAACTTCCGTCATTGTGTCCAACTGTACTTGCGCTCTGCCGCCTCCCACAAATTAAATGAAAGCGTCTATAAAGTCATAACTGTCAACAAAGATACACACTTTAATAGTGTGAACATTTGCCACCCTGCATGACACAGAGAAATATATAAAATGCACGCACACAGTAACATAACTAATTGGTTCGCAAGTGAAAAGAAGCAAAAGCCACAGTTATTCTTTAACTTTTCTATAACTATAACTCTTCCGCCAGTTTGAAGTAAATACAACATCCTGTGAGTCATTATAAGGACACACCGTGCCAAAAATAATAACTTGATATCCCTATTTCACTCATCATTTTGTGAAATATTCTTGTTCTTTTGAATTACTAAGTAGTTTTATTTGGTTATACTTGGTGATATTTTTTTAATATTATTCTACTAATTGCAATACTTTAATTTAGTATTTAAGTATATTTTGAGATAAAATGTCTTTCTCTTGAGATATCATCATTGTATTGACACAATAAGTCATTATTTTTGAGATACTAAATAATTATTTTTGAAATTATTTTGAAAGGGTTTTTCATTATAATAAAGGACGTTTGCATTTTTTATTTTGTAAAGGCTAAGTTTTCACCTTGTTTTTAATTTGACCGGTGGAAATGACTTCATTAACAGAGATCTCAGACATGCCTGGGACCATAAACAAAATAAACACTGTTGTCCGTACCTTGTGTAGCTGCTGCCGTCGAGTCTCTGCACTGGGGCTCGGAAGTTTTCAGTGTAGTGCTGCCAGAACAACATCGTGTCTGTCCCACAAACAGCTGTCGTTTCACTCCAAATAAACACTCAGCCCGGTGCCGAGGAGGTCCAGACAGCAGCTCATGTCTGTCTCATGTCCTCGTTGAATAATCTGCTCCCCAGAAGTCTGTTGCATGCATCAGGTACTGTCTAGTCAATAATTATCCTCCGGTCGGACCCTGGCCGTCGGTTAAGTCTCTGGGTGGCAACGTTTTTTTTTCAGGGCAGGGTACAAGTGCTATTTTGGCCCATGTGAGGGAAGACCCGCCTTAAGATTTCTTAACTGTCCCTCTGACAATTCAGGACATGGACATCACACAGCATTCAGACACAGTCAAAACAAAGTTGCCCAACAATCTACCTGCAGAGTGACTAATTTCAGTAACGCATTATAACATAGATCATATTATTGGATTGTTATTACTGTTAATTTAATAACTAACATGTTTTGTTGTTGAAGCTGGTCGAAGTGGAGGTAATATACTTTAAATATTGGGTAGTGCATTTTTATTTTGCAATGCAGCCTCTTTCTGAAGCTTGCTTGCCACCTTCGCACACATCATCAAATATGTATTTATCTATCTATTTATTCTTGATAAAGCCAAAACCTTACATTGTTCTCCAGTTACTAAGGCTACTAGCTGCATTCTGGTTTTTATGTTAATATGTTTAAATGTCTCCTGTTTGCATGTTTTATGTGTTACTGTTTACACTTTGTAATAGCAAACAATGCACAAGCAAGCCAGACACATTTCTGCGTGTTGCATTCAACCGGGTAAATATTTAAATATTTTCCATTATATTGTTTTATTTCTTCATGTAATATACTGAAGTAAAGATATAAAGTCAAATAAAAAGCACATTTTCAAAGTAGAAATATCGTTAAACTGTATTTAGGGAACATTTTTAGCACATTAACTGCATGTCCTTGGCACTTACTGCAGGCTGTTTCTGTATCAGAGATCCTCATTAGCTAAATGTACAGCCCAGAGCACACATGAAATTCAGCACTTCTCAAATAGCTATGTTGCATAAGTCATGTGTGTTGCGTTTTACACCATGTCTGGGGTCTGTCTACTTTATTACCCATTTGCACATCCGGCAGAATTTGAAAAGATGATGGGCATTTTCACCTATTTTTGGAATTTTATAGACCAAATGATTCAGAATTAATAAAAAATGAACCACTTGTGATCCCTCATCACATATTACAGTTTCATTTGAAGGATTTTTAGATGCCCTAAAAGGAATGGTATTTAGAAGACCTCTAAAATAATGCACAATTCCATCCAAGACTTTTTTTCTTTCAAAGATATCCCTTTTATCATCAGCTTTGATGTTACAGAACACTTATTCCAAAAAGGGCAGAGGCATTGTTGCAGTTTTGAGCGTTTCTGGAGTAACTAATGATACATGTTTTACATTTTAGAATCTCTTAATTTAAAGGTACAATTTGGGGATGGTTTACCACTACTGATGCTGGGTCAGTAAGACAAAGAAGAATAGGTTATATAATAATAGTTTTCAGTCTTTAGTGTTGCGAACAGTCAACATGGTTGGTAAATCCCTTCTGCTGTAAACATTTCTATCCACCTGTCATCCCGGGACTTTTTTCCACTGCAAAAAAACACAAAAAAAGGGACAAGCTTATCATGATCTGTACAAGTTCTTTATTGTAATGTAAGCACAGCTTTGTAAATGTACAGAGGAAACACAACAGTGAAAACTAGAATGTTACAAGAAGAGCAGGGAAAGAAAGACACGATGAAGAGGAGAGAAAAGGGTGACATGACAATAATTTTTTCAGAGCTGTAAATAATTAATTTCTACAGATTTCTCAGCAGAGAAAAAATAAATGTGAGTTCGAAAGAGAGACTACGGGTAGAGCAACAAAGAGGTAACAAAAAAAACGATGGGCACAGGTGCGCACCCCCCCGGGTACATTTCTAAATGACACAGTTAATGGATATTTAATTTGAATATCATATATAGATACATATCCACTATGTGATAATAAGCCATGTCCTGTCATACTTCATGTAGTAAGCACCCGTTTTCCCCCCCCATGTCGCCCAGAAGTGGACCGATCCAAGATGAGCTGGGAGAAATGGAGACCATGAATTTTTCTGAAAGGGGTGGACATTGTTCACATTAATTTAAAACATCAGCCACGCTTTTCTGACTGACCTTCAATAAAACCTTTTTAAATGTAGTCTCATGCATAGCCAAGCACATTACACCTTCTACAATTTGGAATCTGTTCTGTAGTCGCTGTGAGCAGGCCGTCCCGCTGTGACTTGCGTTAGTGCTGTGTGCGGTTGTTTGGTCGTACCTTTTAGGCTAAGCAGCACCTTTTTGAAAAAAGAGAAAGTGTATGTTTATGTGAAAACTCCGGACATTAAAAACCGCTGCAGTAAAACCTCATTGCGTAAAATAAATCAAAAAATATGACAATGTCAATTTACATTCCTGTCTATCTGGCCCCACTGTTCAATAAAGACACAAGACGGCACCTTTGTCTCAGGCCTGCTCTATGAACCACACCCCCCCCTTTAAAAATGAGACGCACCACTTCCTGTTGACATTGACGTGTTATTCAGAGGGGACGCTGTGGTGCTCAGGATAGAGGACGGACATTTAGTGTCTTCATCCTTTGAGAGATTAGTGACAAACTTGGGTGGGACTGAATGTGTATTATCTGTTTGTGTGAGGGTTCAGTTCAGTCTGAGATCAGGGAGCATCCTCAGCGATGGTTGGGAGAACAACAACACTCCTCTTCTGCACCACAACTCCCATCTGGTAGAGGGAGAGGAAATGTACGTGGACTGTGTGCACCTGTGTGCACCTGTGTGTGTGTGTGTGTGTGTGTGTGTGTGTGTGTGTGTGTGTGTGTGTGTGTGTGTGTGTCACTTTGCAAGCGTACGTGTGGATGTATGCGGTTGGCTCCTGTGAAATCTGTTAGGATGTGTGTTTGTTCTCGGCCTGTGTGGGTGTGAGCTCGTGAACTGATGTCTGTGTTTGGTGGGCAGAGATGCAGTTCTGTGGTTGCCCTGTGGGAGGGCGGCGGGTCTCCTATAGGCAGTCAGACGGGGGCTCACCACCACTGGAGCCGGACTGGGCGCGCTTGATGTACAGATTCAACAGCTTCAGCTGCAGACAGAAGAACAGAGGAGGACAAATATGTAAATGTGGTCAACCTCTAGGGTCAAACAACGTGCATTACTGATGGGAAAAACAAGCCATTTTTATTCCATTTATAAACACTAGAGACATTTTTGCAATGGGATAACAATAGCAATGAATTGGACCACACCCATCTTCGAACACAAGCCTTCATCTTTACATTAACTACAAATGTGTAAAGACGTCAAATTGAGCCAGGGGCGAATAATTTGGCCAGCCCCATCTTTACTCACACAGCCTTTTTGTCTATGATGTCCACTACACATCTTTCAAGTGTCCTGTTAATGTTCTGCACTGTCGAGACGCTATGCCTTTGCACCCACATACCAACAGAAAAATAAACTCTGGGGTGTTTCGTTTGTTGTTTGTCTTGATTTTAATTTTAATGCTCTACTGCAGTTTCATTTCTTTCAGTAAGTAAGAAACATAAAAAAGAAAGAGATTGGGAAGACTGAAAGAAAATATGCTACATCATTCTGTGTTATTTCTATGTAAATATTTCAACAATAAAATAATAATAAAAGAAAATATATTAAATACGACAAAAAGACCAGTTACTTGTACCCCTCTGGATCATGAAAAAGGAGCAGTCTCAATAAGCCAGATTTCAACCAAAGACAGAAAGAGCTTGGTAGCACAGATGACAACATACATTTTGTCAGTTTACAAGTTGTGCTTATTAGTCCATGTCTAATATGCTTCGAGGTCAGGTTACCTTGCTGCTGGAGAGCTGGTTGAGGTGCGGTTTGAGGTCCTCTCCGATCACTGCGTAAATGGCAACCAAGCAGAACACACAGGCTTTCCTTACACTGCTCTCAGGGTTGTCGTAACCCTGTAAAACCAGATCAAAATAGATCAACAACCTGCAGAAAATGTGGTTCAAAATAAAGGTTGCAGAGAAAGAATTCATGAATGAATGTGTGTGAGAAAAAGAGGTACATTAGTTCACAAGCGATTGAAATAAATAAGAAAATAGCCCCAAGCTTAAAAAGTATCTAGAGTTGTTTAAATAGTAACACTCTACAGTAAAAGATGGAAATAACAACACTTCCTCTTTTAATAATAATAAACCCAGCACACTTTGAATAGTGCTTGATTGTGATTTTCAGCATTCTATCTATTAGCGTGTTTAAAACAAATCATCTCTCTAGGCATGTTACCTGTATGAGTCCTGGCACTATCTCCGGCAGCAGGCTCATCAGGCCCTCGCGGGGAACCCTCTCCACTACCTTGGTCTGCATCTTGATGGCAGCCAGGTTGATGGGGTAGTCAGCTGACTGGATGATGGGACACAACACTTTGACACACTGGTCTGGACTGATGGACAACGCCAACATGGCAGCCGTCTCCTCTGCTGCTCGCACCACCTGCAGGAAGATACACAAACTTTATCAGATGCTGTGAAACAAGAAATATTGTAGCAGATGTGTGCACGTTTTTTTAATCCTTCTCATCACTTTCATCATCCATATATTAACTAAAACACAACCTACCATCTCTTCAAGCTCACAAAAGTCTTCAAAATACATTTGTTTTCAAGTGAACTAATTAAAATGGTTCCCATACCTTCTCAAGCATCACATTTAAGGACTTTGAAGCACAAGTTGTTTAAATTCAAGATAGCATACTTTGAGACATGATCATGGTTAATTACTGGAGCAGAATTTCAAAATGACAACTAGCAGGCTTTCTTGCTGCTCTCTTGCAATGAGACGCACATCTGAATGTACAATATTCACTATCGTTAGGGAAAAGGATATCAAAAGGACTTCAAAAAACATAAATTCAAGAACTTTCAATGACCCATGACCATTTTGACTACTTTCACGGCCTTAGTTTTTCCCTCATATTTACAAACTTCCAAGGGCTTCAAGGACCGTATGAACTATCATGTGTGTGTTATCTCGTACCTCCTTGTGGGGGTCTTTGTGAGCCTCCAGGGCCTTCATGATGGTGAGCTCTGCATAGTTTTTAAACCTCCAGGGCTGCTTCCCCAGAATCTCTCTCAGCACCCGCAGAGCCAGCGTTCGGATCACATGCTGGGGGGAGAATCAGAAGGATTATAGAAGTTTGAAGGAAAGGAGTTTAGCTTGGTATATTTGCACAGTGTCATCCCAGAAGTGTGTTTCCAGTGTGTGTGTACCTCTCTGTCTCCCATGGTTTCCAGCAGGAGCAGCAGGATGGTCTTGAAGTGCTCGTCCCACACCAGCAGCGCGTTCTCGCGGATCAGCTTCAGCAGATCGCACAGCGCTGTCTTCCTCTCCTCGATGCGCTCGTTGTGATTGGACAACTCTTTCAGCAGCTCGGCCACCAGCTCTGATTGGTCCAGGCTGCTTTCTGTTAAGAAACAATAGATAAGAAACAGTAGAATTTGAATCGCATTCTTACAATTATACTACAGTCTAATATCTCCATACCTTACTTTATAAGATAGATTTTATTTATACACAATTGGGCATTTATTTCGTCATGTTTAAAACATGGCATTGCACATAATGAGAAAATAAAAAGAGTACAAAATAAACAAATATAAACATCTCAAATATAAGGCCTGTAAACAAATTTATATTTTATTTTGAATAGTTGTTTTAATTTAGTTACTCTCTTTTTAGGTGAGTTTTTCTTTAACACGTATGTAACCTCTATTTACTTTTCTCTGTCCAACCTTTATTTCAAAAAGAGGTGCAAATAAAACAAGAAAAAAACCATGCACAATTATAAAAAAAAACTTGTTTTCTGTCAGAATGTGTTTGTGTACCATCTGTGAGCTGCTCCGAGTCGTCCATGCTGGTGTCTTTGCGGCCGTGTTTATAGGGAGAGTCTAAGAAGTCTCGGGCCCCTCGGGGGCTGGAGGACAGCAGGGGGGTGTTGAGGAGGGACGTCTTGTTGTCCAGAGCCATGCGGCCTCCGTCCACAAAGTCCGTTCCGCTGTCTCCCTGGAGAAATGCAGTACAAAAAGTTAAAGAAAAACATGGCAGGTCATTGCAGCTGAATTTTAGTTGATTGTTTTCTTTTATTTCCAACATAACAAACAAGTGGTGTTAAATTGAATGAAAGGTAATTCATTCATCAGAGAAACTTCACGACTGTCATTCTGCATAATCAGCACTTTGTACACATTGAGGAGAAAAACAAGCATTTCATGGAAAGCACGTCATGCTGCTCTTCATGTTTGTTTTCTGAGTTGTTTGAAAGACTTCACAACAAGTTAATTTATTATCAGCACGACAGGTCAGACTGCAACTTGACCTCAACTGTCAAAAAAGAGGCCTCTTGAAACCGGACCATGACACAGCTGCTGAGGCAGTGTCAGTCCAGTTGTTCAGTCTGTAACAGAGCTCAAATTCAAGTTTTTGCACCAGGATGAATAAACAGGTTAAGGGCGAAAAAATCCCTAAATGCTGAGCAGTATGTTGTGCCAGCAGGTATAGATACTGGTGTAAACAAAGGAAACATAAACCCATAGTTTTACTTTCCAGATTCACTCATCTGGATTAATTGAAGGAACTCGACCAGGACTACCTGGAGGACATTTCCTTTGTTGACAGCATGTGGTTCTCTAGTTGTAATAAAAACAACCCGATGTTGGGACTGGAGAAGGCTGGCAGAAGGAGATCCAGCAGGTGAGTAATGCAGCGGGGTTAAGCTGCTCGCGTTTCTGTGTATTTTGCACGCAAACTACTAAAGGGGAGGTGGTTTAATGAGTCAGCTGCGCTATGATTGGCAGGCTGCCGACATGTGGGCTGATCATATTTCAGATGCTTGACATGGGTAAAATGTCAAGAGGTCACACCTCTGTACTCGAGTACATCGTGTCCTTAAAAAGGGTTGTCGAGTATCCAGATAAAAGGGGAGTTTCTTGTTGAGAAAATGTTCTTGGTGTCGTTTACACCCATTGGGGATCATAACAAACAATACACGTGATTTTATCAGAGGCTGAGGAGGATTAAGTTCACAGTTGAGCGTTCATCAACAGCTAATGTATGCCTCTGGGTTCCCACGCTGCAGGGGGAGTGGTGGAGGAATCAGATGGCAGGGTCACATACAGTTAATATGCCTAGCTAGTTAATATATATAGCTAGCTAGCTATGTGTGTGCGTGTGTGTGTGTGTGTGTGTACTTGAGTATTTAGACCTTTGCAAGACTTCACATTTAGATCTGAACTTTGACAATATTGAACCACTGTGGGAAATGCCTGATGGTTGCATGCGTCAAGACAGTACTAATGGGTAACTTAGTTATTTGTTAACCTGCAGCCTGGGCTACAATGTAATACTTTCAGGCAATTGCATTAATTTACGTCTAATAAAAAAGGGCTTTATTTTTCCAGAATTTTTTTTTAAAGGACCCGACAGAGGAATAAACATTGATTCTTTACCTTTCAAGTGTCTTGTTAATGAGTCTAACAACGCTCACTGTAGGAAAAGTGTCCTTCTTAAGTCTTGCTACTGTTGAGTGCAGAAAGCATGGTTTATTGTTACAAATAAAACTGTTCCCCACAACAGGGAATTAAAGTTAATTGTGTTTCTGAAGAATGCGGGAACTGATGAACATTAAAACCTGATTAAACAATAAATGCACTCAAGCTTTTTCTCTCTTTTGCTACCACTATCCCCAAAACCTCAACTATTTTTATTTGCAGCAGTATTTTGCTTCACTTTCATTAAATATTGTCTCTGCAACTATTAGCTTCTTTACAACAAGCCAAATAGATGAGTTATGGCCCTCATTTTGTGTAAGAATTCCTAAAAGATCGCAGCTTTTTCATTTTTACACCATTCATCTTGGCTGGTCATCTTTCACAATAATGTCTGTAAATGATTCACCTTTGTTCTGATTCAAAGTCATGTCATCATGCCTGAGTAAGAAAATGTCGCACCAAACCAACCAAAAGTGTTGCCAACAATTACAGGAAGAAAAATCCTTCACAAGAATATTTTACAGAAGCACCGTTACAACTATAAGTGTTTGATATGAGCCTGGATATATGGTGAGGTACACACTGTACATTAGCATCAACAAAGGAAACTTGTATCCTCATCCTCCTCCACTGACCTCCTCTCCCTGCCGGTGGATGGGTTCGTTCATGTCCTCCTGGCTGCGGACGCTGAAGTTCTGGATGGCCTCAGTGACGCCTTTCAGAGAGCTGTAGATGTCCTCCGAGTTCATGTTCTCTGTGTCGTAGTCAAATGCACTACACAAACAACAAGAGAAAGGTTAACAGCTCAATTGAGCAGATCTTACGCAGGGCATCCAGGTCCAGATCCAGGTCCAGATCCAGGTGTTTGCCTACTAGTGCTCTGGCTCCCACCTCCACCTGTCTCCAATATATACAATTACACCAGATGCTCTTATCACCCAGTGCCCAAAACATGCCTTCAAAATAAATGCATAGAAACTACTTTAACTTATGACACTAACTAAGAATACATATAAATAAATGATAATAATAAACACTATAAACAGCAAGAAAATAAATGTTAAACTATTAAATAATATGAAGAGATATATATAGCTCCAACATGGAATAACATTTTTTTCTTCTTCTAGAATCAATGTGATTAAGATTCATGTGACCTTAACCCAGAGTCCTGCATGGGTCTGATTTTCAAGACCCGCTCCCGCCCCGCTCCCGCGACGTGCAATACCGAACCCGCCCCGCTACCCGCACATATTGCCAATTAGTTCCGCAACCCGACCCGAACCCGCCGGCACAAGATCCACGACCCGACCCGAACCCGCATATGAGCGGTGAAAACGTGCAATTATTAACACACGCAGTTGCATATTTGGCTCAAAAAGCGTGGGATGTTGGTTATTTTCTCCATCTAGGATGACACCAAAAGCCTCCCAGACGTTGGATTTCGCTCTTGAGGAAGAGTTATTGAAAATGCTGTATTCTCCGCTAGAGAGCTTCACCTCAGCCATTTCGAATGTGGCGCGCTCAGCAGCAGATAGATGCGCTGCAGAGGTTATGATTATGCTCGGTCCCGCAGGGGAGAGGTCTGAGGATTTAAACATTAAACAAAATTATTATTATTTAAATATATTTATTATGCAACACCCGCGACCCGGCCCGCATCATCTTTGTTTTACCCAGAACAGAAAAAAGCGTTTGAAAAAATACCACCCGCGAATCACCTTTTTTGCATGTCACCCGTCGGGTA